CGCCTGCAAGATCATCATTAAAATTGGATTGAAAAATGGATGCGATGAGAACGTACTGGAAGTTCTCGTAGAGGGTAGTAACGCCAGGGTAGGGGCTAATGGCGAGTTCCTGCACGCCAAGCTTCCTCCTCACAGCGCCCTCGCCAGACTTAGCCGAACCGACCTCGTAGCTGCTCACCTCCTGCGGTTACAAGATGAGCAGATTAATTCGATTGTTGAATTTTGGCTGTAATGAATCAGCACCACAACGTACATTGGTCTTCTTGTGCCAGCCAACAAGGTAGTAGTACACGTAGAGCGCCAAAACAAGGCCAAAGGTAGCAAAGGAGCCACCAACGACGAAGATCGAGGCCACGTAGGCACTCACGACAGCGGCAACGCCAGCAAGGGGAGAGGCCAGAAACGATGCCATGTCTCGTAGATCAGCTTGCGCTTCTGTCGTTCAGATTAGCTACAGGTTGCCGGCGTTATTTGGTTGTGTCGACACTGATCAGCAGGGAAAATTCGGCACATCATTCCACGCATACCGCACTGGTCGTTGGGTGGTTGGCGCCAAAGTCAAAACGCATGGAGGCAGCGTTGAGTTTTGCGACACTGTCCCCGTCCCCAATCAACCTTAATCGCTCTGGAAAGATGTCAAAAGTCACGACTCATAAAGCCGGCGTCGTGAGAAAGCCACTGGCTGATAAAACCAACGCCGCTACGACAAGAAGGGGAGTGCAGACAAAATTGAATGTAGCGGGCGATTCACGGAAGAAGGCACTGGTGGCCGATGGAACCCTGAAAAAGAAGGCAGCATCCACTACCTCGTCGTCGATGAAGGCGACAACTTCATCGAAGACTACGTCGAAGGTGACCTCGTCGAAGACCAGGACACAGACAAAGGTGGCCGCCGCCCAAGCAAGTTCAGGCCAATCCACGCCTGAACATGCGTGGACTGTCACTGATTTCGAAGTAGGCCGCCCTCTGTACGTACTCCGATGTATCCCATCATATCTTCCTTTCGCTCACCCGAAATTCTCAATCGTTCGTTTCACGCTAAAGAGGGCAGGGCAAATTCGGTACGTAACCCACAGGCGGAGCTCCAACAAAGCAGATTGTTGCTTATATTACTCTTCCTGGTTGCGCAGGTCAAGTGTACCTGGCCAGGGAGAAGAAGTCCGGCTTCGTGGTGGCCCTCAAGGTGCTCTCCAAGCGTAAGATCAAACTGTCCGACAACAAGAAGCAAGTGCGAAGAGAGATTGAGATCCAATCTCACTTACGGTACCGCAACGCCCTCTCGGATCTCCACTCTTCCCGCAGCCAGACCTCACTCACCTCAAACCTTATACAGGCATCCCAACATCCTTCGGTGCGGCGTGTAACCCATCTTGCTGGCTTTCAATCTTCATACTGATGCGAGGGTCCGCAGGCTCTATGGGTTCTTCGTCGATGCCGGGTTCGTGTACCTCGTCCTTGAGTTCGCCCGCGATGGCGAGCTGTACAAGTACCTCAAGAAGCAACCCGAACAACGACTCAGCGAAGCCAAGTCGGCAAAGGTACCCGTGCCTCTTATTCTCCCGCCCTTGGGCTCCCCAGTTTTATCTTTACCCCGTCTCGTTCGACCACACAGTACCTGTTGCAGCTGGTCTCCGCCCTGCAGTACTGCCACAGCAAGGGCGTGATTCACCGCGACCTGAAACTGGAGAATATACTCCTGAGCGCCGACGATCAGGTCAAGCTGGCGGATTGGGGCTCGAGCGTGCACGCCCGGGGCCACCGCAGGCGCACCATGTGCGGCACGCTGGACTACCTTGCGCCCGAGGTCGTTTCAGGCCAGAGGCACGACCAGGCCGTCGACAGGTGGGCTCTCGGCGTGATCCTCTACGAGCTCCTTGTCGGCCGTCCGCCCTTCGAGGCGCCGGAGGAGCTAGCCACTGTCGAGCTGATCAAAGAGTGCAGCCACTCGCTTCAGTTCCCCGAGCACGTTGGACCCGAGGCGCGCGACCTCATCGCGCGGCTGCTGCGGCGCGACCCTGCCGAACGAATCGCGCTGGCCGACATTCCTGCCCACCCGTTCTTCCAAGTCCTCCTTCCCTCTCCCGTCGATCAGTGATCCTCCCCTCCATTCTCTGTTCTCTTCATGTATAGACCCCGCTTTCGAAAGCCAATCCAACTGGCGTGGCCGAGGAGAGCTGAAGCGCTTCTCCCAGCTGCCCTTTCCGTGTTAAAAAACACCCGTGGCCTACACCCCGCTCTATCCTGAGAGACGCAGAGGCTCTGTGTGTTTGTCACGTTGCCAACTGTGGGTTGCTTCTTGTCGGCGAAAATGATTGGGGGCAGCCAAGAATCGAACTCGGGCTCCTGGGACTGAATTACAGGGTGCTGACCACTACACCACTGCCCCTTCTATTTTCCCCCCCCCTAGCCACAACAGATCCAGCCAGCACCCGCAGGTGTAGCGGCTCCAGAGCAGTCGACAGGCGCATGCCATCTAAGAGGCTTGAGCTTCAGTAGAAGACTTCGTCGGTGGGAGAGAAGCGAACGACAGCGGGGTCGATCTTGAGGTAGTCGACTAGCTCGGCCAATGTTAGGTCGGCTTTCTCCTGGACGTGGTGCTTGTGCAACTCCACCAGCACTTCCTGGCATACCTCCCGCCACTTGCCTATCAACCGCCGCACCTTCTCGCGCTCCTCCTGTCGGGCGTCGGCGCGCATGCATCAGGCCACGTAGATCTCGGACTCATGACATAAGGGGACCAAAGACGCACCTCGTTCGAAAACTGCTGCTCAGCCAGAAGCTTCTTACGCTGGAGCTCCTCGAGCTTTGCCTCCTTGGCCTTGATGGCCCGCTCCAGCTCCAGCTTCTCCTCTTCGAAGGACTGAACCGCACCAACGCCGAGATCTGTGTTCAGCCGATGCCTTTGGCGCTGGTCAATTGCAGGTGCAGGCGAACCTTGGGTACCGCTACGCGCGGTTGCTTGGTCGGCGTACGGCCCGCGGCCGAGGTGGTTGTACTCCCCGCGGCCCCTTCTTCTGCCCCTTCTTCATCCTTCTCCGGCTCTTTTCTCTGTGTACACACCGGGCATGCCAACAGTGAGCCAACCAACCACTTGGCTGACACTGGGAAGAGGCCAGCGGGAAAGTACCTTCATTGGCGAGCGGAAGGGAGAGGCAAGGGCAGCAGACCGGCGCCCGCGCAATCGCGTTCGTAGCGACGCACTCATCGGCTTCTCCAGGTGATTTGACTGCACGCATCGTGATGGCGGAAGTTGACAGCGTCAGGTCATCCCTACAATGTCACATGTGGCCTGTCGAGCTCGAGCGCTTACCTTTGGTGGTGGTGACGACGGAGCCAGGGGAGAGGGAGTCGAGGGAGTGGTACTGGTTGCAGTCGTGGAGGTCTCCAAAGACTCTGGTGGTAGCCAATACACCGTGCGGTCTGCAAA